TATCAAAAAGCGAATTTTTGGTGAGCTTACAAACATACGAAAATGTCCACTTTGAGCTCTTTTTTTTGGTTCAATACCGGGAAAGACTGGGACTGACTCTGACGTCATCCCAGGACAAGGCATTTGTTGTTATCGAAGCTTGACAGTGGATTTTATCGAGAGTCAACTCCAAAAATCTTATTTAGCATCGATTTTTATGCTCTTTCGAGAATGAAATGCCCATCAAGTGCGTTGTTGGTGGCTGCAGTAACAGGCCAGATATTTTGAAGGGAATCGACCTTCAAGTTATCAAGTTATACCTTTTCGACGACCCGAAGCAAGAAAGAGACGGAAGAAGTGGCTCGACTTTGTCAAAATCAAGCGTGCCAAATGCACTAAGAAAGAATAAACCATACCGCTATATATTTATTGAGAAATGTCAAGCGCTTGCTTTGAACTCAGTTTACTAGTAATAGGGCTGGAATTTCAGCAAATTATTTGACCTCGGCACAAAATACGCAAAACAGCCATTAGTCATTTGAGGCAAAGTTCTCTATGCCCAGCAGTCTAAACTTCTCGTAGTCGAGAAAATGAAATAAACAAGTACGATAAGGCAAACACATGACTGAAAATATTCTTCCTTTCAAGCGCTTTTCTAATTTCATGAAATGAAACGACTACGAATCCAGARATGAACACTCTTTCGTTCTTGAAACATTATTAAGCGCAGCTTTCCAAGCGATCCAGAAGCAAAGCGTAGAGTGTTAGTTGTTTTCAGTTCAAAATTATGAGTGCCGGGCATCGTATTTCCCCGATTTTGAAACCGCCAATCAAGCTCAGCGCTTGACAGTTTCTCTGCAAAGGACATGAAAGGAAGAATATTTTCATGATCGTGGTTGTTATATATTTCATTTAACTATGATTTTCTCGAGAAATTTAGACTGCTGTGCACATAGTCTTTCGCGAGGAAAAATTTCCAAGTGCCTCAAATGACTATTTCGTATTCTGTGCCCAGGACAAGGAATTTGCTGAAATACAAATCTACTGAGTTCACGGCAAGCGCTTGACAATTCTCAGTGAATATAAAACGGTTTGATACATTCAATCTTAGCGGTTTTATTGATTTTTGTGAGAAAAATAGACTTTTATAAGGCATTTAGTCTTTTGCGACCGAACTTATGGCCTGGGATGACGTCACAAAAGTCGCGCCAGTCCCCGCTCGGACAAAATAATTTGGAACACTTAATTTTGGCCTTATTTTTTCGATTCCGTCCCAACCGTTTACAAAATAATCACCAAACCAACACAGAAATTATTTCAAGGTTCGTAAGAATTGTTTTAAAGATTAAAAAAAAATCGTGAAGAAGGTGCACTTTAAACGATGACTTTGAAGTTGAAAATATGGATGACGTGTTCACCAGAAATTCCAGCACGGTATCCGGTATTGTCGCTACACATACTGCATTTAATTACAAATAAAAAAAATATATTCTTCAATAAATGTAAAGCACATTGTGAGTAACCACACGCGATCTTGGAGCGCTTAACTGCGTTAAATGAGCCCTACATATCATTGTTAATCCGTTTCAGCATTCTCGTGCAGTTTTGTCAGAGACCTGTGTGGTTTTACACAACGAAAAGATGACCAGTTTGACTGGACAAGGAAACGATTCTCTACTCCTTCTGACGGGACTGGGCCCAGTGGAGATCATACTACCGGGCGAGGTTTGTATTCGGTATTTAAGTGTCCTATTGTATCTCTAAAGCGTGCTACAGCTATTTCATACATTTTCCACAGGGTATTACATGTATATTGAAGCATCTARCMAAAAGAAAGGCAACAGGGCKGTGCTGGAMAAAAGCGTGAGATTATCTGGTGGAAATCAGTGTCTTAGATTCTACTATCACATGACAGGCTACMAATCACATGTCGGTACACTCAATGTCTACATTGGCTCTGACAAAGTATTCAGCAAATCAGGCAAGCAGGGTAAACATTGGATGAAGGCAGAGGTGRYTTTGTCACAAACAGGAACTAAAACTGTAAGTGAATAGAAGGAGGTAGAAAACATTTATTAAACAATGTTCATTTTGAGCTGATGGTATAARGCGAATTCAKGCACGTGRCCATGTACAGGCACGTGACCATGATTACCTTATTCAGAGTCATATAATTTCCATGAACGCTCGACATGTATCTGATGTATGAATAGTGAAGGTATAGCAGAGAAAGGTAATTATCAGACTAGGAGACTTCTGTGACTCATTGTCAACGACGGTATCCCGTATAATACAAGTCTGTTTTATATTACAGTTGTCCTTCGAAGGCATTGTTGGTGGGGGCTTTCAAGGCGACATTGCGATTGATGACGTAATGGTTGGACAATGCGATGGCCAAGGTTAGGCTTTATATATCTATATTTCATAAGCGTTGCCATGGAGAATATCACGATCC